TACTATATGCAAGTGTAAAAATCCAAAAGAAAAAAAATATTCATCCAAGTAAAAGAAAATGTTTAAAGCGGGAGGACAGATTGAAGATAGTTAACACATAAATATGCATAAGACAATTTATATAAAATATCCTTGGTTACCATAACATGCATCATATCAATAATTAACTGCTACTATGATTTTCACATATAGAACTTCGAAAATTTTATTCCATTCATGTGATATAAAAGATGTAATATTAATATGTGCTTATGCAATACAGGTGTAGTACGAAGTTGTGTGCATATGAGATTTTAAAGGAATGACAAGTATAAGATAATCATACCTTCTAACATTTCATTACTTACCATATGTAGTTTCTCTTTACATTTAACCATGTGTTGATATGTATGGCTTCTAATTATAATCTTTCCGGATGTAGGAAATTTTTTGTAGATATATATATACAATTGGTTAGAGACTCGTGCTGATAACGTGTTATGAAATATAACTCAAAGTAGCAATATGGAACAAGGAAATAAAATTCTGACTTATATGCCACTTATAGGCAAAACTTCCTAAAATATAAATGTTTAAATATTGATGAATATATAGAAAATACTTCTCAAAATATATTTGTGGTAGAAGTAGAAAATACAAATTGATAATGTTTAACTTCTATTTTAGAAATAAATTCTTAAAAAGTTAGAAGAGTAAAAAGCAAAAAAGGAAAAAAAAAAAGGAAGAAACAAAATGGTTAGTCAAAAAAGCCATTATAATATGTTGAGCCAAAAAAATGAACCATTTTATTTGAAGTTGTAAATTGGAATTTTCACTATAAAGAGAAAAAAGAAAATAATGCAATAGACATGAAGTTAAAAAATAATACTAATAAAAAAGAAAAAAGAACAGCAAACAGATAACGCTCTTAACGGTAAATAGCACTACTACTTAGTTGTAAGTAAATAGATAGAGAAATAAAGGGTGGAAAAAATAAGTGATGGCATCTTCTTCAATCAGCTTAACCTATGGAAACTTCTTCAGTAGATTGAACTGTAATAAGCAACCAATTTTACCAAATTATATCAAGAATTCCCATATAACAGCTTTTTTCTCCACCCAAAATGGCCACCATTTGAGGCTTAAGCAACACCTTCCCATAGCAGCAGCTTCTGATGGTAAGTCTACTTTTATCTTGTCTTTCTCCTTCTTTATTTTTGCATCTAAATTCTTGTTCTTTTGTTCATATGAAATATACCGCTTTTCTTTTCCCACTTGAGAGATTGAGTTTGTATTTTGGTTAAAGAATTGATATTTTTAAGAGTGCAAGATTGTGGCTTCATAAGATAAAGAATGATGGGGTTAGGATTAGGAGGGTCAAAAAATTCTTTTTTGGTGTCAATTTTGGACATAGTTTTGACAGCTATTGGAGATAAATTTTCTTATTTGGAAACTACATAAACAACATTAACAACAACAACAACTACCAGTAAAATCTTACTGGTGGGGTAGGGGAGGGTAGTGTGTACGCAGAACTTACCCCTACCTGAGGGAGTAGAGAGCTTGTTTCCGAAGACCCTCGGCTCAAAAAAAAAGTATTTAAAATCTAACAGTACTAGAAATTATAATCTAAAAGTATTTAGGAAACATTCGAAAGAATTGCGGTAAAGGAAAAGTTTGATTCGCTAAATAGTGATATATGGTGTCATGTAAAATAGGATGGGGGAGTAAAATGTTTTGAAATCTAATAGAGTCTAGCAATTTAAACTAATCTTTTGATGTTATCTGTATGAATGATTTCTTTAACTATCTGTTCCACTCTGTAAAAGTTTCCACTTTTACCTTTAATTATCTCCAACTACCTTCAATAATGTACTCAAACTTATTGTTTAATGCGGCCAGAGGTGGAGGCAGAATTTGAAGCTTATGAGTTCAGGATTCCAGTTTTTTAAGTTATTGGGTTCTAAAATTAATAATTTGTACATATTCAATGAATTTCATAAGACAAATACAGGATTTGGACCAAAACTACTGGGTTCGGCCTAATCTGTAACCAAAACTCTAGCTCCATCCCTGGCTTACCAATAGTCCATGATCAACTCCTTTTATTAGAAGTAAGAACGGCTTCAAATTGCTACTGATGACGACATACTAGATCTAATTGTTTTTAATGCAGATTTTGTGCACATGTTTAATGCAACATCTGAAACATCCTAGTTTAGGTGTAGCAAATGCCAAGTGTGAAATACTAGATAGCCGTCTATGATTACAATGGTAATAGATTTGTCGACTTTGACATTATATCAGGAACTGAGCTTCTGCTTGATTTCCATTTGATTGGTATATTACAATAGGAGGCTTGATGTTCGAGGATATAGGATTGTGACATTAAAGGTAGGGGTAGAACCAGGTTTCTAGTTTTAAAAAAAAGATCTTTTTATTTCAAATTGTTCTCTTATTTTGCTTCCCGAGAATCAACCAAACAATTTTTACTTACCTTTTCACATAATCTTTCTTGTCATTAGGAAAAAGGGAAGAACAACAACTTGTACTTTTCTTAGAGTTTCTTAACTTATAATTTTTTTTAAAAGAACGTTTCATGTAATCCTAATTTAACTCCAAAAGCTGATAATTGGCACGTCGATACAGCGAATAGGTTTATCAATATGAGAGGAATTTTATATCTAATAACATATATCTGTTTGTGTTGAGATTTGATGCAAAATTTATAATTAAATATACAAAAGCTGGAAGGATCTACACATTATGATCCCCTGAATTTATGGTTAAATAGAATTAGCTGTAACAATCTATGTTTTCAAATGAGTTTCTATCTCTCATCATGTTATTTTCTATCATTAACTTTGTAGATGAGATTTTGAAGCTACTGTTTATTTGAATAACTTTTGCCTATTTGGCATCTGTTTTTGTTGTTCATGCAATTTCTGTTCACCATTTCGTTCTAACGCAATGCCCTCTTTTTCAGGCCTTCCCTCTGAGATTACTGATGAAGAATCTAAGTTTGTTTCTGTAAATCCTGAATATCCAAAATATGGTCCACCTGTAAGTTCTGGTTAGTTATTTTACAGTAGCATCAGTCATTTCTTTTCATCTTTCCATTTGTTTTGGTTGATCCTCTAAAAAGGCAACTTCCAATAGGAACAAGATATGTGGGAACTGCTATGAAATTGTGTGAGAAAATACATGTTTTAGTTATATTCTCAACCAAGGAAATATAAGTGGAGAGAATTACATTTCTAGGGCTCAACAAGTGTCCTGCCTAATATCTGGCAAAGAAGATGTGCAACTCGTTATCCAATGCAGTACAATAAAGTATTTCTTTGCCTAAGTTGCGGACAGCTTCTTTATCTTCTTTTTCCTATGTGGAGCTCATTTGAGTACTAGTTTAATGAGCGGGAGCATTTCTATCTGTATTTTATCATTTTGTTATGGACACAAACATGGACATAAATGTGTGTAATATTTTCATTTTTAAATGTTGAAATCAGCTATCAGAATTCGAACTTCCTGGCATTTCTGAAGGAGCTGAAATTTTTGAGTTTTCTGTATCTTCTAAGATGTATCAAAATTTATTTTTGTTCTAGTGAAGAAGTTACTGCAAAGGGAAGTATATCTTGCTTTAATGACTGTATACTATGGTGTATAAGAGCCAATACTTGATGGCGATTTTTGGATGGCCTTCAAATGTTATCCTTTCAAGCTAAAAGTTTTCTAGAAAGATTAGCACGTATTTTGTGATTTTCTGGTATATTTTGCTCAATTTCTAATCTTAAATCAACACGTCGTGAATTACTGATTACACAGGCTTTGTTGTTGCTGGGATTTGAAGTGGACGAGGCAGCAAAGGTAAATTCAATTTTGATAAACTATAACACGTGGACGATTAGATATTCATAGAGTGTCTGTATTATTTTTCATTTGATATTCATAGGAGGATGAACTGCATTTTCTTTTTCATATGCTGAAGAATTAGGTCACTCTTCTCAACTGCTTTTTCCTTCTAGATCTTCCTCTTTTGTTTAGGTTCCCTCTTAATGCTAGTAATTTTGGGGTCAGTGCAGCATGCTTGTTGGAAAAAAACTTAGAACAGCAACTAAAATTGCGTCCTAGATATTCATTAGAATCCATAACTGATTCTGATACGCTTACCTTGTTGCAGATACAGCAACTTCTGAAGGAGATGGGTGGTGAATTCCTTCAGGTAAATTTCACTAGACATCTCATTGCTCTTGTGCGTTTCTTTTTGTCTAACCAGAAATTTCATGTAGTTGATGGTATTGTGCATTTCTAAATGTCATTTTCTTGAATTTCAATTCGAAGTTACATTTAATAAACATATATGCTGCAGGTCATTTTTTGTACCGAAGACATGATTTCTCGCTCACTTTGGGAAGCAATAAATACGAAACAGCCCAATTTGGATGCTTCAAAGGTCAGTCAACTGAATTCTTTGATAGATCATTGTGCTTCTGCACTCACCGGGCTGTTGAGATGTGAGATTATCTTCTTATATCTAGTACAATAATGGCACACACCATTGCATACACCCACTGTTGACATGATCATGGATGAATATAACTAGTGTTTGGCCGTGCTTTGAGCTTCAGTTTTTCGAGAAACAAACATTTTTCAGTAGAAGAAGAAAAAAATAGTAAACTGAAGAGCCCCCAGGGATTTGGTTAAATGGAAAAGGTAGCACAGGGCATGATGTATGGTAAGCATACGTCACGAGTTCGAGTCCTGGCTAGTGAGCCAATCATAGTATTTAAGTGGAGACAGGTACAAGACGGGTCTATTATACACTGAGTTTCGAAACTTGTAAACAGTGGATTTCTCGGTTACCAAGAATAAAATAGTAAATAGAAGATACAGCTTGCAAACATTATGATTCGAAACCTAAGCCCTAATTTGTTCAGCAGAACATGTGAATATGCTGCTTAATTTTTGTTACTTTTTAAAGTTAAAAAAGCATATTACCGCCTCCTTGATCTGTGGAAATAGACTAAAGCCTCTTATGAGTATATATCAGCATTTTTCCTTCCTGACCCTAGGTCTGAAGGTATGTGTGTTCTGGCTCGTTTTTCTTCACTAACTCATGTAAGCGTCCCAAATAGTACAATAAAATCCCTATGTATTAAACATTTAACTTGTGTAGTATATAGTAAAAAATAGTTTTATGATTGCTCAAAATTTTGGAGATTTTGTAAATAATATCGAGATATTGTAGTCTAGCAATTCAGCTAATCGAACAAGTAGTCTTTCAAACTGAAAGATTACTGATCTTAATGCTGATCATTGCAATAGGTTACCATTGGAAGCAAAAGATGCATATAGGAAACACAAACTAGCTAGGATTGAAGTGAAGTTACACTGGTAGGCCATTAGTTCCAGTCTTTGCTAAAAGTCTGTTTAATCCGTTTGGATTTGTATGTCAGTAGAGAATGTTGAGACCCCGCTGTTAAAGAACCAGACTATTGAGTATCAAAATGAAGCAGCTCCAAACAGAGGCGGATCTAGAGCAAAGGTTATGGGTTCCCGTGAACCCAGTAACTTTTGCATAGATCCTGTATTTGTACTAAAATAATCATTAAAAGTATAAGAATATTTAGCTTGGAACCCAGTTCGTTGGTCCAGTTATCATGTAGATTAATTTGAGATTGTTATAGGAACCCATAAACTTAAAATTCTGGATCCACATCTGGCTCCAAATGGAGAGACATAGGATACTGAGGATTCATATAGCAGGCCCCAACTATCTTGTAATTGCCGTGCTGCTGTTGTTTTAGTATATGCTTATCCGTGCCTTGTCCTGAGTTAATAAACTGTCATAAGAATCGGAAATTGCTCGTCTAAGCAACAGACTCATCATTACTCTAATGAGGAGGTATCCTTTATGCAGATAGCTAAACAGCTTCCACGAATTTGCTTCCTGTCTGGCCTTATGGGAGAGGAGATGATGATGTTTATTGACGCATTCGAAGAAAGTGGTAAATCGTTTCTTTCTGCATTCACAGCCGAGGTCTTCAACTTGACCAAACAATTATGTCTAAACAGAAAAAACTCATTGAAAAACAAATAAAACTTCTGCCTGCAGGACAGAACTGCGCGCCAGTTCTCTTAAAAATGTTTGAAAAGGAAAATCCAGTATTTCTAAACACTGTACTGCCTCAATACAGCATTATCTTGAGATCTAGGTGGAGAAACAGATTATCATAGAATAATTTATTATGAAAACACATGAGTGGAAGGATTTTTTTTGGTTGCTCCTTGAATGCACAACATACTATAATCTGCGAAGGCATAACATTTCACACTACATCTTGCAAATGCAAATCCTTCGATATATGGTGATGTTCTTTCCGTAGCAATGACAATTAAGGCATTCAACTGATACAATAGTAGATCGTTTTTTCATCTTTTATCAACTTTCTTTTTCAGTTTAATGTCGCATCTAAAATGATCTTTTACATGCTCAGAGGCTAATCTAGGATTTAAACTTGAGGGGTTCAAAATTTTAAATTTTGGGCTCATAATTTAATATTTGTTGAAAATTTAATGGTTTTCACATATATAGATATGTGCCATGTCGAAAATACTAGCTCCATTGGCCTCTGGTCATACTCCTGTTTCTGCACAGGGCTTGAGGATCCCGTCTTTGCTGCTCTAGTTGAAAACAGCGCCGACAAGCCATTACAAGAGTTAATTGATGAGATTATGGGAGATCATGAACTACTTGTAAGCTTAATACATTTCCTTTTGTTATATGAAGCACTTATATTAAGCAAAATATCAACAGGTTCTTCCTCATGGCTGATATTATCTTTTCTCGTTGCAGTCTGCAAGAAATTCGAGCTAGACGACAGGTCTGGCCGCCGAGGGAAAAAGTTCTACAAATTTGGTTTTATCTGTAGTCCGTGGACGATTTTGATTTTACTTAAGTTGTCGAATGTTAACATTCATTAAGGGCAATTCGGGTTCTTTTAATTACATCTGTCTGTGATAGGAAGGAGTCAGGCTTAAGTTTGTATGGTTTTTCATTTAAAACCCATATTAAGTTTCGAATTATTTTATGTGAGATAGAATGTGGTATAAGAATTCACGTGTTAGAGATGCGTGGTAAAAGTATTTTAAAGACAAAAATGCCTGCAAAGTAAGTAAACCATTCGTAAAAGTCTCTTCAATATAAATTATGCACAATATTATCCCTTCATTCTTGTTCATTGCATAAACAATCTTCCTTTATTATAATCCTGCATAACTAACATCTTAACCAAACCAAACCAATCCTTAGTGCTTCAATTTGAGGACATCCAATAAAATTGAACAAATTCAAGGGGCATTTAGACCCCAGGATTTGGAGATACATATGCTAGAGATTCCTCATCCTTCTCCAATTCAAGCATTTCCTCATTGTTTCCAAGGATCCACGCCTCAATTCAATCACTCTATCCATTTTCCACCAGAGTTAGCTGATAGAGTTGTCAATGTAGGTTTGCCTAGCCCAGCCCACACAAGCCTAGCCCAACGAAACAAAATTGTGAGGCTATACGGGTACTTATCCAATATCTTCCTTNATATATATATATATGTGTGTGTGTGTGTGTGTGTGTATAATCTATGTATACCAAAATAAACTGTGAATTCGATCACCTATTTGTGTCTTATCCCTTTTAAGAGTTGGTAGGGGCGCATGAATATGTGTCTTGTTACTGCATTATGAAGTAGGTTTGACCATTTGGACCGACCTTAAGCATATTTTTCTTGCAAAAGTACAATGAAAGTTACCAATCTAGGCCATAACCTTTTTGAGGCCCATATATTGTAATTACAAAATGCAGAGAGGATTTGGCCAAAACCTCTACAATAATTGACTAAGAGAGAAAATATGGTAATAGTTAAATTTTATATACTTTGTCTGATGTACAAGTAGAGAATTTATAATAACGTCTTCTGGGGATCTGAAAGGCCTCCACTTTCAACAAGCTAAGTGTCCTTGGAGTTTTCCAAGATAGTAGGTAATGGTTAATATGCTATCATTGTTGTGGAAATATATCCCTATTTGTATTAATTGGACTAAAAGTAGATCCACCAGATCGATGGACACTGGCCCATCCCTTTTGGATAAGGCAAATGTTAGAACTAATCAATTACACCTTTTTTTAGTGCTAGGCCTAAAGCTAGCCGTCTGTATAGTGAAGAAGCACCAAGTGAAGATTGAAATTTGCATTGTCCGAGTGCTAGGAAGATTTTGTAATGAAATATGAATAATCAGTAGATATAGCATTGTCTGGAAATTCACACGTTTAATTAATGTTTATAGCAAGTTAGTAAATCCTAACAAGTGTTCACGCGGGAGATATTTCCTTTACTTTTTCCATTATTTCGTGGATACATATATACTAGTTTTCCCAAAGTTCATACTATACCTTCTCCTTTTTCATGTATGGTTGATATCAAACAGTTCCAGATTTGTTTTTTCCCTGTCGAAAACAGTTCCAAATATGTCACAGGCAGAAGGAGAAGAGGGTCTTTCCCTTTCAAGTGGTGATTAAAGAGCGTAGTCTATCCATACATGAAAAAAATTCGAATATTTTTGGCTGCCGTAGTAAAGTCCTGTTATTAAACACATATGTTATAACATAACATGAAAAATTAGTTCTAAAGAAAACTTGGTGTATGCGGGTAAAATCAGGGGTAATGAGCACCCCTATTTACCGGTGGGGTGAACGAAGAGAGGACATAGCTGCGTGTAGCCGAAATCGAAGCCAGGAGCCACTCGTATCAAAAGCTCGAACAAAACACCTGCCCCCAGAGCCATCGAGACCATGCCCCCAGACCTGATTCGAACAACAAAACCTCGGAAAACATTGCCAAACGTCCGCACACGATTAACAAAGGACAGTAATATCCGTGCCTGGCCAGATTTTATGGCATGAATCTCCCCCATATCAACGATTGATCAGTGATTTGCGAAAAGGAAGATCTTTACCTTTTTAGAATTGTATTTAGGGTAAAACTCCCCTACTATATAAAGCGGAGGTTTATTATTCAATAGACTCTCTATAATAGGCATACCAAGGCAATATACATTTATTTTTCTCTGTTTCTAAAGAATTGTTCAAAGTTCTTGTTTTGGTTCATAAGTTCTTCATAAGTATTGGTTCGGAACCGAAGGCGAGCTTCTCGTTAAGCCTTTAACCGAGCCTGGGTTCATTATCATTATTGGTTTGGCTATTTGTTCAAATTTTCATTTGCTTATCTAACGCATTAATCACTTGTATTGGATTACTCTAGCGTAACAACCCTAGAAAGGATCGTCCTCGATGACTTTGTTTGGATCGGGCTTAGGCAGAGCGTTGGCTTCTTCAATTGCCCCCTCGGAATAAATCGGCAAAAAGAGGAAATGACCTGTTGTCGTGGCCCCGAGTGGTTCTCAAAGCATTGGGGGACTCAACGTTTACCCCCATTGGCATTGTTGCTGAAGGCGGAGGGACAATCTCAACCTCCGGGGACATCCGGGCCTTGCCCGTTTCTTCCCTCTGGGCATCCTCACCACCGGATGGATTTTCTAGTTCGGAAGGTTCGGTGGACTCGACTGGATTCCTGGTCCGAGTCACCAACGCCGACTCTTCCTCATCATTTTCCTCACCATTCGGGGAGTCATGGGCCGAGTCTGTGCCCGTTTGAGCAAACCTTTTCCGCATCCTTCGAGTGGAGGTTTTCTTGTCTTGGGGGTCTTCGGATTTCGAGACCCTTTTTCTTTTGTTGTCCTTCTCGAGCTTAGTTTTTGAAGGCTTGGTTGTTTCCCCGGGCGGGGCCGGTCTCATCTCAGACGCATCTCTAAGGCCTGCATAAGAAAGTGTGAGTAAGTAAAAATATCTCCAACAGTATGGAAAGTGTTTAAACTATAGAAAGGCACTTACCTTGATTCTTGGCCTCCTACTGGCCCTTCGCTAATTCGCGCCACTTACGCTTGTCGTAGGAAGAAGTGACAGCTAACTTTCTGATCCAATCCTCGAGGTCGGGCACCGCTAGGGGTGCCCAAGCTTTGGCTGTCAAAAGAAAGATATGGGCGTTATGGAAAATGAAAGAATATGAATCTATACAAGAAATACGAACTTTACTTACGGTTAAAGTTCCACTTCTCCGGGAACGACATTTTTTCCTCGGGGATGATGTCCGAAGTTCTTACTCTAATGAACCGGCTCATCCAACCCCGGTCTTTGGGTTCGTCGGTGCTGGCAAAGAAGGATTTCTTTGTTCGGCGTTGCAGTTTGATAAGCCATCGAAATAACTGGGGACGATACAACTGAACTAGGTGGATGAGGGTGAATTCCAAACCCTCGGCCTTTCAGAAAAGTACCGCAAGATGATCATGATACGCCAAAAGGAAGGGTGGATTTGACCAATGGTGACTTCGTACGTCTTACAGAAGTCGATCACCACCGGATCGAGAGGACCCAATGTGAAGAGGTAAGTGTAAACACTCAAAAACCCCTCATTGTGGGTAGTTATGCTTTCATCAGGCCTCGGGATCTGAACCTCGACCTCGTCTCCCCATCGACAATCCTTCTTTACTTCCTTGGTGAGATGCTCCGTTATCAGGCTAATATATCGGGATACGTGCTCGCATCGGCCTTCGAGATCGGGAGGATTCTCGATACCAAAGTCCTTCTTGATGATTTAATCACCAGGGGTGATTTCCTCAAATGTTGGCAGCACCACCGGTTTGGCCGGCCGGGAGACGGAGAAAGATGATGCTTTATCCTTTTTGGGGACTGTCTTGGAAGTTTTAACCATGGTTGTAAGCTAAAGATTGCAGGTGCACAGGGATGAGGTGTTTCCGGCAAGAGCTTGGTGTTTTCCAGCACTTAAAGAGGCGGAGGAAGTGAGTAATTGAAGAAAGAGATGAAGATGGGAAAGTATTGAAGAAAGGGTAAAGTTCTTAGAGAAAACATCTCATATTTATAGAGGGGCAGTGACGGTTAGGTGGCATTAGCGGTCGACCAATGCTGGCGTGCATTCAATGTTTTTGGGGAAGTGGGCCGATGGGATGTTTCGATCACTTCGCACGCTGGCATCACGAGGATGACATCATCACTAAGGGCTTCAGGAATCCAAATCGTTTCATATCATTTCATTCTAAGAAACGCGGGGACTATCTGTATACTGTCAAAATCAAGGAGCCCGATTTCAAAGTCTTAAATTGGGCAATAAGTTCGAGTCCTGGCGATTTGAGGTAGAGGTCAGACCCGGTTAGAGGACACACACCTCGAAGAAGCAGATAAGACAGGAATAAGGACAGAAAAGGGTGAGTGAGAAGGTGACGAGAAACAGATAAGTTCTCGGGATTAAAGCCCATGAAAACAAGAGAGCTGATGATTTCTCGAAGTTATAGAAAGCTCAGTATAGCTTGAATAAATTCAAAGGAGTTACTCATCATAAGTACCATTTAAAAGAGATGGAATGCTACCCTGATAGTAGAATAAAGGTGTAATTGTGGTAGATAAAAGATGACGTTTGAGCCTTCGATTAAGTACTGATTTGAATAAAGGGATTCATGAAGTGTACAAGATTAATTTACCCACGTAAGGTAAATCACATTGGGATGCTATGAAATACGATTATGAAGTATAGTATCGTATCTCCCCCATGTGAATCATGAAAATCACTTCAAATGTTCCACGATTCAACGTGAGCCCTAGCGATTGCGTAATAGGTTTCAAGTTATCAGTGGTAGATTATAGATCAATATTGAAGTAAATCAACAATGGATGGACAAAGTCACAAAGTATGATATGGGAGTAGGCCGTCATTCTTAAGATGAACAATAATGAGGAAGCATTAAAGGATTTAGATTCATACATATGGGATAAGCAACGAAAGTAACCTGGAGTTTGGTAGTATACCTTGGTAGCGATATCAAAGTAGGAGTTATGGCAGAAAAGTCATATGGATGGATAAACTGATCTATGACAGAAGGTAGCAACAGTTACGAGATTAGAAAGATTTCGACCACAAGTCGTGGTATGAGAAGGAGGACTAAAGGGGGAATGCCCTAGACTTTGGAATTATTCAAAGAACGATTGCCTAGATGGCAATGAGAGTACTAAAGTATTCAAAAGGCATAAGTTATGAAAATGATAAGTGCATCAGTCA